TTTCTAACTTATAGACATCTCTTCTTCTAAATGCAAAATTTTTTTTTTGTCTGTTGACGTGTTGAAAGTGTGTAATGCTTAGACCTGCGACAGTTCAAGTTCATAAGTTCAGATCAACTGCTTAAAAGAATTGTTAAAGAGTTCTCAAGATCGGAACTGATATGGAACTGTCCTAGGTCTAGTAATGCTATGTTATATCATGGTCATTCTATCGGTGAACATCATTTCTGTTTTTCAACAAAGCGAAACACTCGTCTGTGCACAGGCAACTGTTGGAAGCTATCTTCAGATTTCTCTTCTACGAAAAAACATCTGGTCTCTAATTACCAATAAATGACTTTCATGCTTAACAATATTCCAAAATATACAACTGATGCTATTGATAGTATAGCGATTGATGCTATTGATTCTTTGATGTATAAAAATTGCTGTGACGTTCTTGCGACAATGGAGAAAAAAGCTAGCAATAAAACATTCGAAGAAAGAAAGCGAAACATAGCAAAAGTATTACGACTTATCGCAAGTATTCATTCAATGCCATGCCTTGATTTTACTTCACAACTTCATGCATTATTCAATGCAAAAGTAATAAATCATTATTCAATAATTCATGACGTGTTAGAACCATACAATAGAGCATTTCATGGTGTACCAGATATTAGAATGTCACCATTTTGTGAATTAATGAAAGGTCAGCTTCTACCGCCAATTGAAGAGGAGAAAAAATTCAAAGAATATCTGTTACAATTACAGCAATTGATGAGATCCAGGTTCCCTATTATGCTGAGTGAATTATATGAAAAGAACGAAGTAATAAACAAATACAATTTGAACAACAAAGATTTTGGAAACCTGCAACCATCTCAAAACCGGAAAAAAACCAGATCGCTCTCTGTATAAAAAAAAATATTTTAATAAAGCAAGTTAACAAGTATTTTTTATGTACTAGCGTAGACCCGTGCACACTGCACGACTATTTTTATGACTTAAGACAACCTACGTTTTGGGTGTGGCGGGCGTGGGTATGGGTGTGGGTGTGGGATGTGGATGTGGGTGTGGGTTGTAGGTGGATGTAGGTGAGGATGTGGATGTGGGGAGAGTGTGGGTGTGGGGTGTGGGTGTGGGTGTGGGTGAGGATGAGGGCGAGCGTGAATACTATTCTCATCCACGCCCCCACACTCATACCACACCAGTATGTGTACCCACATGCACACCTACTCTTGCACATCCACACCCGCATCGAGACCCTACACGCACGCACATGCCGATCCACGCTGTGATGCTCACACCTCCACCGGCACCACCACGCATACCCTTGTGTGCATTATTTCATACTATCCGTTACTCTATTTGTGCGTAAAAACCCACTAATGTGATGAGAGAAAGTGTTTTTTCTTTCTTTTGCACGGACGTTTTTAGTTGATAAACATTCACAATTGAAACAGAATGGTGCCATTCGTTTTTTTACGTTTGGAGCAGTATACAAACGACCTTGAGAGTTTGTTTACATGCATGATCGAAAGTAGTGAATTGCGCACGTCGTTATTGTAGGTTTCTCTTTCTCCAATAGAAAAATATTTACCTAAGATGAAAAAATAGTCACTAGCAGAGAGCAATTTCGTATAAAAGATGTAAAACCCAACATGATATTGTCATATTTCGTCTATTCCATTCTTATGACAGCCAACTGAACTGACTGATGTAAGACTTCCGTGATTTGAGTTTGGTGTTTTTTTGATCGTATTTAGTTTTGGGATAAAGCTTGTCCTTTTATGTGTTTCATTTCGATGACTATTTAATATGTCCCAGGGCGGGCTTTCCGATGACACGATACGGTCAAAAACAGCCTTATAAAAATAATAGTAATAAGGTGGAGATGTGGGCGTGAATATGAGTGTGGGCGTGCGTGGGTGCGGGTGTGAGGGTGGGAGTGAGTGTGGATGCGTGGTGTGGGTGTAGATGTGGAGTGTGAGTGTGAATAAATTGTAGCTACGATTAATGTATCCACAACACCCACACCCCATATTGACATTTCCAGAAGTTCCTCAATGATGTTTGTATTTTTTGAATCTACCTAGAAATTTTCTTTTGAAGAGTAATAATTGTCGGTATTTTGTGGAAATACCTTCTTAATAAGTAAAATATTTTAAATTTCACTTAAAATTTTCTTAGTAATTTTCAAAAAGTTTTCGTTAATTTTTTGTAATCGAAAAGGGTTTGGGTGTGGATGTGTGGATGTAGGTGTGGGTGTGGGTGTGGGTGAGGATGAGAAGAACACAATACCGACACCCACACCCACACCCTAGTCGACTATTTTCGCCGGATTTTTGCCAGTATGGCTGTAAAGTTCATCCGGCCGGTTGCTGGTCGGACCGGACCGGACCGGACAGAAAAAACTGTCCGGTTCCAACTCTGATTGAGTCCAAACAGGTGGTGTAGTTTTCAAGCAAATTTTTCTTTTGCGCGTCAATAAAGTCTGTATAGTGTATTGTCTGACAATTCTAAAATATTTTTATTATATACTCAATATAACAACTAAAATATCATTTGTTTGAGTCATATGATGAAGATTCGAATTCTATACGAGAGAAATAAAATGAATTTTAGTAAACACGATGAATAGCGTAGGACATATGAAACCAAATTATGTCAATTATCAAAGATGTCATGTTGCCGTAATAAAATTTTGTCGACAAATCTCACTGGCTGAATAATAGAGCATACAAAATCAATAAATTTAATCTGCCTGAGACAAGTCAACTTATCTCATAAACAAATTTTCTGGACAATCTTCCACTAAGTAGGAAACATTTTCAGGTGTCGGAGCACTTTTCAGCCGAAGTTTCGCACATTGTGTAGCTCATAATAAGCTGTGTTTAAAGTTAAAAGAGTTCACGTTTCTAGCTTGTTTTTGAGGAGCTAGAACGTTTTTACTATTATAGCTATATTGGTAATCTTATCTGAAAAAAGTACAATGTCAACGAATATAAGTTGAAACAAGATGAGATTTTGCTCGCATATAATTGTGCTAATATGTTATGAAACTGATAACTCTATCTTCCCAAGGTGTTTTGAGCTCAGACTAGCTTTGGCACCGAGGTACAATCGAAAACAGACGATTGAAATATTTCTTCCTTTTGAACAGATTTTATCATTCGATAGTGACATCCATCGATGAAAATGTATATTAAATATATTTCGAAATTTGCAAACAATCAGATTTGTCAGCAAATTATTATTACCCCATCTACACAAAGTTGTGCAATTTCTATTGTATTTCCTAAAATAAATCTCTGACAAGAAAATAACTTAATCATTGCTTTTATACATATTTTTTCTAAAACTAGCTTGAGAAAATTGTCGAAAACAAAAATAATTTCGTTTTTTGCTTTTTCTTTTTATTGATACATCGAAAAGGAAGAAACAATGTATAACTTATGACACATTGTTTCTTTCTCTTAACCGTGTCAATAAAAAGGAAAAGCAAAAAAAAAGCCATAGTCATTTTAACTGTGGTGGTGAGTACAAGGATCGTTTTATTTGTTAAATTCAAGATGGAAGATAGTCCAGTTTATTTTTATGATCTTAATAAACCATACGGTGAATTTAGTAATTTTTATCCATCTCCAATAAAACTTGATGGATATACTTGGCCTACGAGTGAACATTATTTTCAAGCACAAAAATTTATTTCAAATAAAACACATTATAAAAATGTTTTACAATTATCTACACCTCGAGAAGCTTTTGATTATGTTCGAACTTATCAATCATCAGTACGATCAGATTGGGCACAAGTTAAAGATGAAATAATGTTTAAAGCATGTATGGCTAAATTTGAACAACATCCTAAATTAAAAGAATTATTATTATCAACTGGCAATCGTCTTTTAGTTGAACATACTAAAAATGATTCGTATTGGGGAGATGGAGGAGATGGAACTGGAAAAAATCAATTAGGAATTACTTTAATGCAAGTTAGAAACAATATTAAAGATAAACAATTTTAATTTATTCATTCACTAAAATTTTTCTTTTCATTAACTTAAACATAAAATTTTCTTTTTCATTTTCTATCATAGAAAATATTTGTTATTTGACTTGGTGACATAAATAAACATATGATATCTAACCTATTGGATAAGAATGTTAAATGAGCAATACACGTTTTATATGAAAAAAAAGATTCAAATCAATTTATGATATTCAACAAGATTTAATAGATCTATTTTGTTTGATGTAAGTTTTTTTTTACAATAATCAAAATAAAAATTTTTTTTTGCTATTCATAAATATAAAATAAAAGATTTTTTTTTCGTATGAATCAACTTTTTACTCAATTTTTCTTTGTTTTTTTCTTAATCGATGTAAATAGAACTTTTTATAGAAATTTTGGCATGTGATACATATGAATTTACTTATTAGATTATTTTGTAAATCAGTAATATTCTATATTTCTTTAGCTACTGAATACAGTACATACTGTCCTGGCCAAAATTATAAGACTCCCACTTGTTTGAGAGCGATTGTTTGCTTGCTTTGGATTATTATAGCCATTTGAGAAAAGAAAAAGTGATGTGACTGCATACATTCGAGTATGCTCTACTCAAATATGGGATTAGATTTCCTTAAGTCTATTGACAAATTGGAGAAAATAAATGTTTATTAAAATCCTTCAATTTTTACCTGGCCAAAATTATAAAACCATTATGACTGTTTTATTATTAATGAATGAGAGAGAGGAGAGTTTTACTTAAAAAGTACATAGAAAGATAGAGAAGCTCCTGTTGCATATTTTCATAAAAAAACAGTTTGTAACATAATCTATATTTGAATTGAAAAACGAAACTTTCTTAAACAAGCCAAAATGGCTTGAAAATGCTATCTGAGCTTAGTGTCATAGCTGAAAATTTTGAAATGGAGACTGAATTGATGTTTTAGTAATGAATTCGAATAGAAAACATTTCTTGATGCAAAATGAGATGTTTTCGAGCTGTATGAACTGTCTTGTTAGGGACATTGGTATGCTAACAAACACATCCTCTGTGTTGGGTGTGGGAGTGGGTGTGGCGTGTGGCGTGTGGGGTGTGGGTGTGGGTGTGTGGTGCGATTTTAAGTGAAGAGAACATCCACACCCTCACCCATCCACACCCACACTCACACCCACACTCGCCAATAGAACGATCGATTTTAAGAGTAAAAGATTAAAACAATAGCAACAAATTCATTGTTTTTTACTAATCTTTTCTGCAAATATCAGTTTTGAAATCTTTATTTTGGTATATGTAATCTTGTGTTGTATTCAATCTAATTTCGCATTCGATTCATGACTGACGACTGTCGTACAAAAGATGAAATATTTCATGGCAAGCATTATAACTGGCATTGTTCTACAACTTATTTGTCTTCCGTTTTTCACCACAGCAACGATAATATTAAGAGATCGAGTGAAAGGCAAGCAAGTTCTTGATTCTCCATACGTTAATTCCATTCAAATAAATGAAGTCATGGCACATCTTAATGAACTACAGCGTATTGCTACTGCTACAAATGGGACACGAGCATTCAACACATCAGGATTCAATCATACACTTGACTATGTGACAAACTATCTATCGGCTAATACAAATTTCAAAATTACAAAGAACATGTTTCGTGTTAGCTATTTTACTCTCGAAAGCAATCCCGTTTTTCTATCATCCTTCAACGGCAAAATTACGAATCATACGTACTCAAAAAACCGTTTTCTAGCTGAGTTTCTAGAGGTCACATTTTCATCGTCCGTCAATTTTTCTAATTTTATTATACTTACCGCTATTCCCAATGCCGGTTGTTCTGATGCTGATTGGCTTGCGGCAAAGTCATTGGCAACTTATCGTATATCATTGGTCAAGCGGGGTGATTGTGCTGTCGTTGACAAAGGCATACTTGCAGCAAAGTACAATGTGGTCGGTCTTAGGGGTGGGAAGTTACCGTTACCCGGGAGTTACGTTACCGGGTAACTAGTAACTTTTGAGTTACTAGTTACCGAGTAACTAGTAACGCCGGAGTTACCAGTTACCAGGTAACTAGTAACTTCAAAGTTACTAGTTACTTTTGGTAGGTAACTTGTGTAAAAATTCAAGATATCGCTTCCTAATGACTGAATATCATCTATTCATCACTCAATTAAATTACGAGTTACTTGGTAACTAGTAACTCCTATATGTGTTACTAGTTACTCGGTAACTCGTGAGCTGAATAAGTACTGTAATGATGGTATTCACTCATTAGGAAGCGATATCTCCACTTCTTAGACAAGTTACCTACCAAAAGTAACTAGTAACTCCGAAGTTACTAGTTACCTGGTAACTGGTAACTCCGACATTACTAGTTATTCGGTAACTAGTAACTTGCGAGTTACTAGTTACTTGGTAACGTAACGGTAACTTCCCACCCCTAGTCGGTCTTCTTTTTTACAATGACGGCAAAACATCTGATCGAATGTTACCTACATTAGAGAGACTTGGAGAAAATAATAGTTTACCAGCATTATTTCTTTCTTTCGATCTTGGCGAAAAGTTGGCTAATGCAGCTCGTAATTCATCGTTTACCGTTGCTGTTCGCTTTGTTATACCTGTTACCATTGAAAATGTAATTCCTGTCAATAATATTTGTGCAGATACTCCTACAGGTGATCCTACTCAGACAATTTTGATTGGAAGTCATGCTGACAGTGTACCCACTGGACCAGGCATAAATGACAAGGGTGAGTGAGGAACATTGAAAAGAAAACTTGAAAGCTATTATAATATTTAAAAACAAGATAAACAACGTAGGCTTACTCAAAAAGGAATGACAATAGAAATAATGAACCACATGAAATGAAAAACTAATGTTAACCTTTCGGTTTGAACTGTTCTGGAACCTATCAATAAAGGTTCTTAAAATTTTTATTACTACAGCTAACTAGTTAGAAAAAAAGTGTGTAGGATAATTCTTTCGAAAACGTACCAGAGTTTACATCGACTTTCTCCTAATTGAATGAAACTTTCAACATTTCTAGAACGTGGATCGGTATGAATAGCACGGCGGTTAAAAAAAAACTCCAAACCCTAGCAAAGAGGTCCAAACAGGGACCCAAGATCCCATTTCCTAGCAAAAGCGGGTCTTGCCTAACTTTTTTATTTAAAATAATAGTAGCCTGAAAATTTTACCATCAATGTTACTCGTTGAGATGATCATTTTTTGTAGCAGACGTCTTTTCTCCCGTGTTCTGTTTTTTGGAAAAATCCTACCGAAAATGATGCTTTTTTTATGTATTTTCGACCTGCAATAGTTTCATGAAGCCAGAATGGAATTTTGACTTATATTAGTATTTTAGAATCATCTAATTATTCTCTATCTAATGATGAAACTTCCAAGTCTATAGTTTGTTCCTGGACTAAATGGGAAAGCCATTTTGAAGACGAATTTGTAGTTTTTTTAAGCAACTTTGAACCTCTCCCAGAAAAAACCACGGGATTCCCAGAATGCACCATATAGCAAACGTTGACTAGCGTATTTAGTTCTACCATTTCAGAAACTTTGGTTTTTGGTCAATGAGATTTGGCTAAGAAAAATGACCTCGAAGTTACAAAAAAATCATGCTTTTTTACCTAAGCAGTTCCGCCGAGAATCTCCTATTTTATACAAAAGTGTGAATAGCCAAGCTGAAACTTTCAGCGGCTATAAACGGTTTAACAGTCTAAGACTTTTAGTAAAAAAAATCTTATGGACTTTCAATCGGTATCATGGTTTTTTTTGAGATCGTGATATATGACCTTGAACTCTACAATAAGTATCTACTTCACTTTTCATGATTTTGAAAAATTGACTTTCTTGTATAACAGCTAACTATAACTTGAATTTTGTACATAAGTGTATAGTACTAAGCTACTAGTATACATGTATTACGAAATTAGTTTATTCCTACCACTAGTTTAGGATTGGTTCAATACGAGATTATGCAAAACATGCAAGGAGAGGAAAAACAGCCAATTTTTGTATAAATCATTCTCTATCGTGAGATCATTATCAACAATTCATTTTACTTTCATTAAGTATCCAAATCTAATAACTATTCATAACTATAATAATCAAAGACTGAATGAGTTCCTATTGGTAGATGAGACAGTACAGCTGGTTAGTTTAGAGCGTCATTCAGTGAAAATACGACATATTCTGATAAACATTTCTCTCTTATGCGGAATTTTGAAATATTTCTAATGGTATTGTGGCAAAGCACCATCATTGTTGTACATGCTCTATAGTGACATCTCGTTTCAAGCTCCGATGTCTTGAAATAAAATGACTTCAAAAATCAGATTTTCGCAGCACTTTGCATGCCAGTGTTTTGTACGCATAAAAACGTGCATTTTTTATAATTTCGAGGTCATTTTTCTTAGCCAAATCTCATTGACCAAAAACCAAAGTTTCTGAAATGGTAGAACTAAGTACGCTAGCCAACTTTCGCTATATGGTGCATTCTGGGAATCCCGTGGTTTTTTTCTGGGAGAGGTTGAAAATTGCTAAAAAAAACTGCAAATTCATCCCAAAGACGACTTTCCCATTTAGTCCAGGAACAAACTATAGACTTGGGAGTTTCATCATTAGATGGAGAATAATTAGATGATTCTAAAATACTAATATAAGTCAAAATTCCATTCTGGCTTCATGAAACTATTGCAG